CTCTCGAGATTTTTTATTTTTGCAGACAGGGCAGGATTGGTGCAGCACAGTGCCAGGTGGAATTAAGAAATATTTTGATATGGAAGAAAATAAAGATAAATTAACGGTATTGACTGTAACAGCATTGAATGAAGCTTTAAATCGATATGTTGAACGAAACGATATAGACGCCTTCAAGAATATTGTAAGATTATTAGTGATAATTTATTTTCAAAATTAATACTCGTGAATTTCAACTCATAATTTATCTGAATTGTTTGGGTTTACTTAGAGATCAAATGAAAAGAACCATTGAATACGTTCGAGCACAAAATACTGAAACAACCGAAGATATTCGCGCAGAAATTAAAAATTTCCGCGATGAGAGACTTTCTGAAGATCAACAGGAGCAAGATAATGTAATGATTTGTATATGAGATTTGTATATGATGTTCATATTTACATATGTGTGTAGCATATAAGATTTTTACGAATATACCTCTTTGCAGGTTCTAAAAGCCCTAACAACCAAGAAGCAATCGTAAATAAGTTCTAGAATTGGAGAGCATTCTCGTAATGCTGATGTAACAATTGAAAATGATAGTGATGAAGATAATTTCAGTTCAATATTATCGACCAAGACTAAAGAGAGGGGTAGAGGTTCAAGAGATGGCAGAGGATCTAGAGGAGGCAAAGAAAAATCTAACGAAGGGGGGAATGCATCTATTATAAAAATGCTGGTATAAACAATTATCTAAAATATTATCTAATATATAAAATATTGTTAGAGTACATTAATTTGTGTATTTGATGATTACATTTATATTTTTAAACAGAATTCTAGGAGTGCGCAGTCAAAGAAAACTCGTGATCAATATATTGTAAGTGATTCCGAATAATATATGTTATATAAGAAAACTATATATGCATGTGTATGTATCTACACATACAAAAGTAAGTAGATTATATTCTTTTTTATATACATAGATGAACATTATTTTGTATACATATAAAATTTAATGAAAAGTATTCTTATATATTAATTAAATATGAATGTATGTAGAAGATAATTTTAATATATAAAGTTTTACAAAAACGGTCAAAAGGTTTAAGCCAATATATTCCTATAAAATATCTATATCCCTATAAAATAAGTTTCTGATTATTCCGCACTCTTCAATTATATAGCTAAATTCCCTATTAAGCTGCGCATTGCGGCCATTGCGTTTCACAGTCAGTGAAATCGCCTTAGTGTCGGTCCTCAATAAGTATTTAATCTTTAAGTCGGAAGAAATTGACCAATCATATCATCAGTCGATTATTCTTTTCATATTCGATTATAATTGGTCAATTTCTTACTTCTTAAAGCTTAAATCACCTATTGTGGACCGAGATTTAGAGGTTCTTTAGTAAAAGTCCAAACGAATTGATCAAACAGTATCCATAATTTGCGACACTCGATCGTAATTGGTCAATTAAACGCATGTACACGATAAGCACCTTCGACGAATTTCACATCTAGACGTTCATTTGTTCGAAGACGCGAGCACGCGAGGTGCAGCGCTCCGGATCTGTCAAAGTCGACGTCGTCGCGCGGTTATGGTTATCCCGAGGACAAGCTTTTGGTCGCGCATCTTATGATACATACGAACGAGATTCACAACGGACGCGGACGGTACCAGGACGAACCATGGTGCTGAACGACTGCGCGGACCCGGAGAAGGTGGGATGCGGCTTCAATGCGTTCCGGGAGGTAGACGAGGTGACCGATCTGATAGCGGAGCTGAGAAGGCCGGATCTGACGGCGAGTCTCGTTGAGAGGAATCGGGACCGCTTCAACTTCATTCTGTCGCAATACCAAGACCAGCACCATCTCCTGGACCCGTATCTTGAGAGAATCCTAGGATCCTTGTTATCGATCATTAAAGATGATGACACTCCAGAGAACATCAAGCATAACACATTCAAATATCTGTTTATTATCATGTCCGTGAAGACATATAAGAAGATTGTTACTTACCTCCCACATGAAGTGGTGGATCTCTTGCCTGTGCTGAAGATGCTGGAGAAACAAGATCCGAATGATGTGGAAACGTGGGAGACTAGGTATGTCTTACTTGTCTGGTTGTCCATCATCTCGAAGATACCATTTCCTCTATCTCGTTTGGAGATGTCAGAGAACATGGATCCAGAGCAAACTATCATTGTCAGGTATTATCGATGCTATTACTCATATTATATAATGTTTAATTAAAAGATGACAGAATATTCGTTGCTTTTACTTTTATATATGCTTTTATATATGTTTTAGAATTTTAAAAGTATGCAAATTGTATTGCCTTTCAAAAGATGCATGTGCTGTAGCAGCTGTGTTTTTAGTAGCAAACTTTTTAACAAGATCAGATGTCAAGAAGTTATACTTGAAAGAAATGATTATGTGGTGTTTAAAGGTAATGTTTTCTTCATGATATAAAATGTGAATAATATTTTTGTATATAAAAAATTTTTTTTAAATATTTTATATTTTTCAGTGTATAGAAAATGATCCTCTGAGACACGGACCTCTGGCTGTAATAGCTTCAATATTAAAACACAGTGCCAGAGAGGATGTCAAGCCGTATAGCCAAATGCTTCTAGATAATATGCTGAAGCTTCGACTGAGTGACAATCCTGCAGATCTTATTAGAAAATTTGGAATAAAAGTTGTTCAACGCATAGGTATTAGAAACTTTAAAATACATATTTTATTTAATATATTTACTTCTTGTAATTATTAAAATATTTTTTATTTGATAGGTTTGGTATTGTTAAAAACAAAATTAGCATCCTGGCGCTATCAGAAAACAAGTCGGCCAATAAGTATTATGCCTAATGTTAAAATGGATAATATTGGTAACACTGAAAATGTTATTGAGATTAAGAAATCCATCTCAAATGATAATGAAGATCAAGAGATTCCTCCAGCCATCGAGGATATAATAGAGCAACTCATACAGGGTCTTCGAGATAAAGCTATTACTATAAGGTATGCACATGTTATATTTATATATTTTCCATATTAAAATATTAAATTATATATATAGATGTACAATGTAAAAATCATATAATAAATTTATATAATATACCAATTACATTATATGATATAGATGGTCAGCAGCAAAAGGTATTGGCAGAATAACAGCGAGATTGCCGGTGGATTTAGCTGACGACGTATTAGGATTTGTATTGAATCTTTTTTCTGGACGTGAATCAGATTCGGCATGGCATGGCGGTTGTTTAGCTCTCGCGGAGCTTGGTATATAGCATATACTTTTTATGTTTAGAAATATATAACAATTTTTATTTCATCATTTGTATGTATATTTGTACTGCACATATTTCAGGAAGACGTGGCCTATTATTACCTCATCGTTTGAGTGATGTCATTCCCGTAGTCCTACAAGCCTTAGTCTTTGACGAACCTAGAGCTTACGGATCGATCGGTTATTTAATCAGAGATGCTGCTTGTTATATATGTTGGTCTTTCCCAAGAGCCTACGATTCGCACATTTTTGAACGTTATGTCAAAGAAATCGCGGCAATGTTATTAGTTGTAACGTGCTTCGATAGAGAGGTATTAGTTGTATATTTCTAATCTGTATAACTTCTATCTACATCGTGTTCATAGTTTGTATAACACGTTGTTGCGTCGATAGATAAACTGTAGGAGAGCAGCGTCCGCAGCGTTTCAAGAAAACGTTGGCAGACAGGGCAACTTTCCGCATGGCATAGATATATTGACTGTTGCCGATTATTTTGAAGTTGGCGTCCGGAGTCACACATATCTCAAAATCAGGTATAGACTTCATACACATTTCAGATACACATAAATATTCAGTTCTTATTACTTATGATATTATTTAATTACTTATGATATTATTTTTTAGCGTCCAAATTGCACAATATGAAGAGTATACGAAGCCCTTGATAGATCATCTAGTAGCAAGAAAGGTTACACATTGGGATACTGCAATCAGAGAGCTTTCAGCTAGAGTAAGTTTAAGTCTCGATCAGTAATACCTGATTAAATGTTTATGAAGATGATTATTATAAATTTTCAGTTTTGTCATTAGTAATTTGTTGCAGTCGCTTTTCAATCTGACTCCAGCCGATCCACATTATATGATAAACACAGTATTGCCGGCTTTGTTGGACATGCTAAATTCTATCGATTTAAATGTTAGACATGGCGCAGTATTAGCTACTGCGGAAATTCTCGAAGCTTTACATCATCATTTTAATGATAAAATTGAAAATATCATCGGTAAGAATCTGTGAAACTATACATGGAGATCAATTTTTATTTTTCTTTAATATAGCAGGATTGATTTTTATTCAGGAATTACGGCTGTTGCTGATATACAAGATATAGTACGAACTTTTAGAAGTAGAGGACAATTTAAAGGACTTGGAGGAGAACTAATGAAACAAGCGTGTGCTTTGCTAATAAAGAAATGCTCTATTGTTCACTTTCCTATTCATTTTACAGATGTTATAGGCACGTATTAATAGTTAGAAATCTCTTTTTCTTATAAAGTTATTTTTATATATAAAATTTTATATTTAATATATAAAAATTAATTATATATTACAGATGACTGGCAGAAATTATTAGAAGAGTGCTTGAGTCACGAAGTATCGGCAGTAAAATTAAAAGCAGCTGAAGCGCACACGAACTTTTTCATAGAATACTATGTAGATATCGATTACGATGCCCGAAGTGCTGTGGTTAATCGTTATTTGAAAGCCCTACAATCAAATAATCAGCCTATTAGAATAGGATTTGCACAAGCGATAGGTAAATCGAAAGACGCATGATAAAATATTAAATAACATTTACAAAAATCAAATATATATATTTACATTTCTTTCATTTATTTCATATATTGACAGGTCATTTCCCATTGTTTGTTATTCGTGAGAGAGTGAAAGACATCATAGAAGCATTAATCACATGCACTCACATATCCGAAAATACACTGAAATGGGCGCAAAGTAGAAAAGAAGCTTTGCATTCTCTAATTATGGTGCTACAAACATTAGGAATCGACGAAGTCGGTAGGTTTCCATTCATATGTTATTTATTTATTAATAATTCACAATATTTATTGCAAAAATTCTTTTTTTTTTTTTCAGACAAATGGCAATCATTTGTGCCAGATTTGTACAATTGTTATTTGTTGGCTCTCAAAGAATATACGATAGACAGTCGTGGAGATATAGGCGCTTGGGTACGAGAAGCAGCTATGATTGGATTACACGTGCGTATTGTAAAAAGATTGATTGTCAATACGCATCATAGAATTGCTATTGAAACATTTGTATTGTTGCAGGTATTGACAAACTTGGTACTACAAGCAAAATTATTATCTGTGTTAAATAAAGATTTAATGGCTAATATTATCGGCGGCATTGCACAGCAGGCTGTCGAGAGAATAGATGGAATTCGAGCTCAAGCTGGTACGGTATTTAGTGCGCTTATACACAGGTAAAAATATGTTTTCAGTCTGACTCTATTCTCAATTCTTTGTCAGAAAAGCAAGAGAAATAGAGTATACAATATTTTAATTAGCAAGATCAATTATGAATATAATCTTTTTTTTATAGCGATCCGCCACTTCCAAATATACCACATCATAACGAATTGAAGGCTATATTTCCTTATAATGAATGTAAGGAGACTATCGAATGGCGAATGGAATCTGCAACATTTCCGCGATTTATTAAGATGTTAAGTTTTCCGCCATATAAAATGAATTTATTACGCGGAATTATATTTAGTGTCGGCGGCTTAAGCGAATCTTTGGTAAATTTAACATTTATTAAAAATTATATAATTTAGAGAGATCTCACAAAATCTTATTTAAACATTTATACGCTAATTTTCTTATTAAAAGTCATTAACTTTTTCTTTTAGTAAGATCTTAAATTTTACTAGTTATATAACTAATTCTAATTTATGATTAGATAATCCTCTTATCTTTTACTCTTTTATCAGGTGAAATACTCAAGTGTCTCTTTATTTACGTATCTACAAGAGATTGATGAAATCGGTTTAAAAGATTTATGTGAAAATATATTAAATATATTCGAGGAAAGTCATAAAAATGAAAGAATGATAATATCGATACTGGCTTTCTTGGATCGTTTATTAAGTTCAGGCTGTATACAATCTGTCTTGGATGATGCGGACAATACAATTGCAGATCGTATATTGACGTTATTAAAACAAGAAATAAAATATTTTAGCAATATGAAATTGCTCATTAGTAGTATAAATGTTTTCTGTCAGTTGTTACAGGTTTGTAAAAATTGATGAATTATCGATACTCGTAATGATAATTACTCTAATTTATAATATATAATATATAACAATTATATAATAATATAATACATAATTTTATCAAATTTCCTGATTGAAATTAATTAGTATCTTATATTGAGTATTATATTAATATTAAATATTATACTTTTAGATACGAGGACCTGTTTCGAAAAGAGCATTTTGTCAATTGAGTATATTTTTATGTCATAAATATACAAGCTTAAGGAAAACAACGGCTATTCGTACTTATGAAGCATTGACGGTTTATGGAGAGGAGATGGATGTAGCGGAAGAAGATTTAGCAAATATACTTACAAAATTGAATGCGACCGATTGGGAGCAACCAATCACAGATTTACGTCCAATCAGAAATAATTTATGCGAGCTAATGAAGGTACCTGCTCCAGTTTTGCAAATAAAATCAACGAATTGAGAAAAGCTAATTTGTGCGTACGAAAATCACAGCTTTTCGTTAAAATTATATTTTATTTCTATGGCACGAAGTGAGACAAAGTTTAACTAATACGATAAAATAATTAAGAGATTCTGATAATTCTCTCAATTGAATACAAGAGTTTAATACTACTAAACTCTAATACTGATTACTGAATTTAAAAATATTGTATATATGTATGCGTAAAGATATCTTTTTCTATTGTGCAGGCTTATACATTTTGTAAGATGAATTTAATAATTTCTATCGCGTTATTTTATACAGAATGAATATGTAAAAAATATTTCTATAATATCAAAATAGAAATGCTTATAACATACACTCAGATTTATAGGTATTCATACACCTATACAATTCACGAATCAGTCGTATTTACATTATCAAAATTGTCAAAATACATTTTTCAAAAATACATTTTTCGTTTTATGTATCTCAACATTCATTCTTGTTAAATATTTTTATCTTCTGTTCATCAAAATTGGTATCAATACTGATATTATTAGTTATATAATGAGCTAATAATTTAGCTCCACATTTCTCAATTTTCCACTGTTCTCTCCACCAATTGTGTTTATTAATTCCACCTGTTATTGGATCTATTGGCATAGGACAATTGTATTGCTTTTTCGTAACTATACTTTTTTTCAACTCATGATTATTTCTCTGTACTTTTTCGCATACAAAGCATTCAAATTCTTCCATGTAATTCCCAAATTCATTAGGACCTATCGATCTCTTTTCAAGTGCGCGTAGCAATCTATTGTTTGTAATATGGTTTTCACGCTTATCTAATTTATGAGATAGATATTCTTCATATGCTGAATCATTTTTCAAGAGGTTGTGCAGAAAGTTGGCAAGTTTTATGGGACTAGCAAAATCTAATATTGAAATAGCAGATTTATTATTTGGTAGCCAATCCTATAAAATCAAGAATTTAGATAAAACTGATTTAATTACAAAACTTAGTTAGTTAATAATTTTCAAAACAATACCTTAAAGGATGGTGATCCATAATATATGGGTACAGAGCCAACAATGAGCGGCCTCCACAGTTTTTCTGTGATATAATCATCACAGATTGCATTTTCAAAAGCTATGGTAAATTTGTACTTGGCCACAAAGGACAAAAATTCACGATCATTTAAAATATCAAGATAATTGTGCCTCAACCTGAACAGATGTATTTTATCCAATCATTAATTTCACTCAAATTAAAATTATATTAAGTAAATGTACCTGTCATCAAGCTGAGCATTATTCACACATGCACCATAGGAATCAACTCGAATATGTTTCATTAGTTCTATGACATAGCGGTCTCTGTCACTAGCTGTATCACAGTCAGATTGAATATATAATACTGGTGCTAAGTTCTCTGCATGCATCAATGCAGACTTTTCTTTGGTAGGTACATAATATGATTTATCTACAAATCGTTACATCTTTTATATATAGATAAAGCTTCATAAACTTTTGATATCTCGTTATTTAAATTGCGTCAGAAATTGGAGATAATCTTTGTAAAATGTTTTGTCCACATTTACCTACTAATTCTTCTTGACTTGATAAATCAAGAAGCGTCAATGGTACATTACTGAACCTACTAAAAGTCGAGGAGTAATTAAAAAGATTGAGTGCTTTTTCATGAACAAGTATGGGCTTGTTCCTGGGAGATTCTTCATGGAGCAAGCCCCACGATATGGCACTGCTTCTCCAGTTGGGCAAATCATGAATGTGGAGATCACTTCCATAAAACAGAATACCCTGTAAAAATATTAGTAACGAATGATAATTAAGTAAATTATATACTTGAAATAATTCAGAAAGGAAAAAACATAAAAAAAAAGTCATACTTTCAAGCGTTTATTGTTTTGAAATACTCTATTGTACGTAAAGTAACACCTAAAGTTTCCGCAGGTTCTCACTTGATTATTATTACCAAACGGCGTCCACCATAATATGACGGGTATGTCGTCATCTGGGCGTGACAGAACATCGAGATATGTCAATCTTTGTTGAGAAGTACTGATATGGCAGTAACAAATTACCTGAAGAAGACAATTTCATATGGTCGCGGAATATTAAGCATAACTGAAAAAAAAAGTTAAATCAACTCTCGCAGATGTCAAGTCGATGTTAATCGCTCGTTTATTTGTAAATACCTGAAATATCACTACACATATACCCAGCGCTGTCGCGGTCGCGAACATAACACGTATCTTCCGCGGCATTATAATCTCGAAATCATGTTCATGAAAAGGAAATGTCTTAATTGCTAATTGCTAATTGACTAATGAGATATAACCTAAAAAAAATGAAATGTCAAATTTTGATACACAAATGCCAGCGTGGTCTAAATTTTTTCATGCATGCGCATTCGAGAACAGCGTGATATCAATCTCGACTTTTAAAGATTCTAGAGATATCCTATTTCGACGTTTTTGTAAAAAAATCATAATAAAGTGAAAATTCAGGTAAAATTAATAAAAAAGTTGATAGCAACGTTTAAATCCATATTGCATAAATCATATTAACTCTCTTATTATTTTTGATATTACTTTAACTTCTACTACGAGCTAAACCACAAATTTTCCACTCGAATATACATTACTGAATTTCTTGACGCGCATGCGCAAAAGCGCGATATCACTGCCGCCACCTGTCGGCATCCCGCGCGCCGAATAGAAGTGTCGATAACCCTTCCCCGGCGCCGAAGTCGTTCGGCGCTTCATTCGCAGCGCCCCGCTCGCCGTGCGACGAACCGCGACGAACGGAACCGAATCAGCCGTAGGAATTCCGAAGGTGCGTCGCGACCGAGTTCGCTTCGTGCGTTCCTACCTCCCGCTGCGATCATCGTATTCGCATACCGTCGGGTCGACCGAGAGCAAGCAGGCAAACAAACAAGCAAGCGGGCAAGCTAGCAAACCAGCAAGCCAGCAAGCCAGCCAGCTAGCTAGCCAAGCTGAGTGAACCAGCCATCCAGCTAGCTGACCAGTCGGGCCGACCAATCAGTCGCTGGAACTCATCGCGCCTCCGTCGCGTATTCTCCATCGCGCTCTAACCTCAATCGCGTCGCTGCATCCGTCGCGCTTCCTCCCCGCGACCTCCTCTCTTTATCATCTCTCTCCTGCTCCCTCCGCCCTTTCAACCGCGCTCCTCTCTTCCTCCTCCTTCTCCTCCTCCTCCTCCTCCTCCTTCTCCTCCTTCTCCTCCTTCTCCTCCTTCTCCTCCTCCATTGCCGCTGCCCTCTTCCTGTCGCGTACCGCGCCGTTTGTCTCTTCCTCTCCCGCCCTCTCTCTTCTA